ATTGCTTCAAAGTTATACTCTATAAATTGCTTACCATATTTTTTGGTTTGGAGCCTTGGGATTGTGATGTACCATGATGAACATTTGTTTTACGTCTTTTGGGTTTAGGCTCGGAGGTTGAAGGATGATTAGCAAGCCGAAATTCGTGCACAAGCCATGGTGTTTTAATTCCCTTGGGTTCGTTTTTATCCGAGTTCAAATAGAGAGGTCATTGTTTGACTTTTTATGTTCCTTTTGGTGTTCATTTGACTTGAGGCTTTATGAGTAATTCCTTAAACTATTTGTGTAGTCAAGATTTCAATATATTTTTCAATTGTGCAAGTATTTAGTAGCTGTCCTGAAGTTTCTGCAAAGATTTAAACTGCTTGTGATAACTGTTGTTGTTCACGGGTTAGTGACAACCAAGTGAATACTCACCGCCTCTTCCCCCACTCCCTAGACCCTCTCAGAAACTCAATTTTTTTAACTGTGACCAAGGAAAAAATTATTCTTTCCTGTCGAACTCCCTATTTCTCTTCACACTACATCTAAAGTAGCAGCCAAAGAAAATCTGAGGTTGTCTACCATTGTCGAAGCTTAATAAAGCTCAAATTTTCACCATGCTAAAAATTCGAAGCAAATAGCTTGGATAAGCAAAAGGAATTCAAAGCCCAAGACTATCCGAAGGTGTTTCAGCCCAGGCTGAAGGTGTTTTGGGCAAACCGAAAGTTTGTCAGCCCAGACCGAAGGTATTTTAGGCAAGCCAAAGGTTTTTCAGCCAAGGGCCGAAGGTGTTTTAGGCAAGCCGTAGGTAATTCAGCCCAAGGCGAAGTGTTTTAGGCAATCCGAAGGTTTTTCAGCCAATACCGAAGGTAATTCAGCCAAGGCCGAAGGTGTTTTGGGCAAGCCGAAGGTTTTTTGGCCGAGACTAAAGGTAATTCAGCCCAGACCGAAGGTGTTCTGGGCTAGTTGAAGGTGTTTCAGCAGGTACTAAGATGGTTCATCCGAACCAAAGCTCACCCAAGCATGTACCATGTTTGAGAGCCAAAGCTCATCCCTTTGCAAGCTTTGCTGAGGTTCAAGCTCCTGACCATTGCCGAACGTAACCCGAGCCAAAGGTGGTTCATCCGAGCTGAACCTTATCCGAGCCGAACCTCATCCGAGCCGAAAGTGATTCATCCGAGCCGAAAATGATTCATCCGAGACGAAAATGGTTCATCCGAACCGAGGCTCATCCAAGCCGAAGAACCAAAGCTCATTTGAGCTGAAGATGGTTCGTCTAAACCCAAGCTCTAAACCAAGTGCCAAAGCTAGAGTTACTAAGCAAAATGGTTCGGCAGGTTGAAGTAACCATTGCTGAAGCCAAAGAAACAAGGCGTAAGCAAAAATAAATGAGTAATTCAAACAATTGAAGTGACAACTCATAAAATTACTTTATCAAAAAGTAATATTCAAGTCATGTGAGTTCATGACAACTCAAGCAGTCATTTCTCATGTGCCCAACTACAGAATTACCTTACTTGCCTATAATTTATTACAAAATTGAAACAACTTTGTTTTTTTTTTTTTTCTTTTAATCCTTTGTATTTTGTAGGAGTGTGACAATATGGATTTCTATGAATATTATATATTACACATGCTACAATAATAATAATAATAATAATAATAATAATAATAATAATAATAATAATAATAATAAACACTTATTATGTGTAATTTTGGGTTAGTATTTCTAAAAAAAAAACAATATAATAATAATAATTAAGAAACATAGTATATTTGGTTCACTTTCATGTTTATGGAACAACTACATGTAATAGTATTATTGTAATTAAATTAAAATTATTTTTTATTGGAAATTATTTTTTAACAACGTTTTATTAGAATAAATAAAACTCTAATACGTATATATTTGCATACGTTTTACTACTACGAAACTTATACATAGCTCTTGAAATTAACATTTGATAATACAAAAATGATATCTGTTGAAACACGAATAAACAAAAATGAACATTGGATGATGCAATAATTCTTATAATAAAAATTATTCGAATGTGTAAACTTTATAAATAAATTTTCTCTCATTTTTATTTTTAAAAAATTCTTAATATCCAATTCTAAAAATATTTTAATTTGAACAAAAGACTCCTTGTTATAAAAATAAACATCTAATGATACATAAATGAAAATTTGTCAATTTAGAAATGAACATTTCTATAAATTTCCATCAAATCTATACTATTATTTTAAAATATGAAGTTAGAAGGACACGTGTCCACTTCCTTTTTTATTTATTTATTTATTATTATTAAAACAAAAAATACCAAAAAAAAATCTCAAGAGTTGTGACCTTTTCTGACTTTTTTTTGTTAAATATAAATTTTGTTATTTTGGTTTTACAAAAATTTAAGCCCTATTTATCTATCTTACTGAAGTGTCCTTTCCAAAAAAAAAAAAAAAAAAAACATCATAGTGAAGCGTTTCAATTTTTTTTTTCTCTTTTATACTTGTTTATTTCTTTTCCTCTTATCATTGTTCATCATCTGTTTATAAAATTTGTTTCTTTAATAGTCTGTTCCATATTCCCTCTCCTATTTATATCACAATACACATGCAATTGATCTCTCCAACCAAATTTTGAGTTTTTTGCTTAAAAAATTGGGTTTTCGTGATCGATTTTGTCAGATACTTCCTCAATTTCTTTTTAGTTGAGACATTTCTTTAGCATCTTTAATTTCCGATAAGCAAAAATTATAAAAATTTCCGATAAGTAAAAATTATAAAAACTTGATATTATAATAATTTCCAATAAGTAAAAATTATAAAAATTTAATATCATGATTTTTATAAAAAGATCTCACATCACTATATTTTTCATTATATATCAATCACAGAACAAAGTCAAAGGAAAGTGTGTGAATAGTGCTAAAGTCAAAACATGTCAATTAATAAAAACTGGAGGTAGTATGTTACAACAAGGTTTGTATTTTTGCAAGTTTAAGTTTGGGGTTTCATATTTGAAATCAGGTTGTAGTGGTGAATTTATTGGTATAGATTTGTGATGCTAGGAATTATTTCTTTTATTTTTTTTTCATAATTTATATTTTCTTTCTCATTTACCTATATTGTTAATTGATGCTTCTTTTTACTATGTTTTCATAACTTCTGGGTCGTCAAGTTTGTGTGATTGCTTAGACTGATTTAGTTAGATTTTAGTTTATTTGCATGACCAAAATTGGGTTTATGGTATCTAACGACTAATATGTTTGTGGGACGTTGAGAAGAAGTTAATTTATTTTCCATCTCCAATTGTCACAAGTTTCGTATCCAATTGTCATAAATTCCATAAAAAATTGCGAGTATTAGGCAAGATTGTTGTGTTCATTTGATTATCCTTTTTTTTTTTGCAATGTTTATTTGGTAAGAATGTACATCTTTTCTGGTTAGAAATTCACTTAAATATATTAATATTTTTGGGTAAAAATTTACATCTTTTCTGATTAATAAAATTCGATTTCATGTATTAATATTTTTGGGGATGAGTGTTTAAATGTTATTGTTAAATTTCTAAAAATTCATAAGAGTTTTTAGATCAATAAATAACTATACGTTCAAATACCAAAAAAAAGTATTGTATAATACATTAGACAGCTGTGCATCGCATGATTTTAAGACTAGTTCATAAATGAAAAGGGGCGGGAGTAGGGGCGGGACACGCGCGAAGGATGGGGGTGCAGGCAGTGTTCTTTTTCATGGGATGTAGGACAATTGTAAGACTAGTTCATAAACAATTGTATTTTCCCAATACAAAATTCCAAATAACGGCCCGCTATAGCACAACCATTATAAACCAAAGACCCTGTTCTTTTGAGCTTCTGGGCAGAACAGAGCAGAGTAGGGGTCAGCAGAGCAGAGCAGATTAAATGTCAGCAGAGCAGATCTCAAGATAGCAGAGCAGAGCAGAACAAATTTCAACATTATTATTATTATTATTATTATTATTGATGCTGCTGTTGTTGCTGCTGCTGCTGCTGTTATTATTATTATTATTATTATTATTATTACTAATTATTATTATTATTATTATTATTATTATTATTATTTTATTTTATTTTATTTTTATTTCTTTTAGGTGAGTGAAAACATAAATATACGTGTACCACATTTAACATATGTTAATAGTAGAAAGATAAAAGACAACGGTTTACTTATATTTATTTCACAAAAATTTTAAAATAAAATGATTTAATGAGTAATAATGATTTTACTTATAAATTTTTCTTAATCATATATTTTTACCCTAAAAATAATAATAATAATATACAAAGTACTACTTGAAAACAACTTTTTTTTTTTTTTAATCTTAAAATGTATGGAAAGATTTGAAAAATAATTCAACTCAATGAACTAACAATCAATACCCACATAAAATGTTTTTACACATTATGATTCTAATATCAAATGTTTATAAAAGAAATTGTTATTAATTGTTATTATTATTTATTTATTTTGAAAGAATTGTTATAATTATTAGAAATTATTAATTAATAATATTATTAAATATTAATTTTTTATAGTTTGAATTATTAAATATTATTATTGATAATAATTATTATTATGATTAATAAATATTAATTATTATTAATATTAATAATTATTAAAATTATTTTTAATATTAATAATAATTATAATTATTCAAAATAATAAATTATTATCATCAATACAATATTAATACTTTTTTTATTGAATATTAATTATTATTGTTGTTATTATTAATTATTATTTAAAAACAGAGCAGAGCAGAACATATTTGATTTGAGCAGAGCAGGATTCAACAGAGCAGCTCTAAAAAACGGGGTCTTATGGAGTTAATCTATTTGGGTCAGTTAAGTTATCGAATGGGTCAAAATTCCACTATATCATAGTCAATTTTAACGGGCCGAGCCTGGCCGGTAATTACAATGGTGATATCCAAAGCGCATTTCCACTATATAAAAGCCCAAAAAATGGCCCACTTTACGAAACAGAAGGCCATTATCATAAAAACCGAAGTATGAGAAGAAACCCTAACCCTCCAAGCCCCTATTTCAATTATTAGTCGAAACCAAAACCCTAATTTCAGCATTTCTCTGCTGCAGCAGCCATGGGTAACTCCATCTCTCTCTTTCTTCTTCTTCTTGTTCGAATTTGCGCAACAATTTTATGTAATTTTGATCATTGTTCAATATGATAACTGTGAATGTTGATTGCAGTTTCAGGCTCAGGAGTAATGGCGAAGAGAGTGGTCGTGGACGCCCGACACCACATGTTGGGGCGTCTAGCCTCCATTGTTGCAAAGGAGCTTCTTACTGGGCAGCGTGTTGTTGTGGTTCGTTGCGAAGAGATCGCACTTTCTGGTGGTCTTGTTCGGCAGAAGATGAAGTACCTTCGATTTCTTCGTAAGAGGATGAACACTAAGCCTTCTCATGGTCCTATTCATTTCCGTGCTCCTTCTAAGATCTTCTGGCGTACTGTTCGAGGGTATTTCCTGATTTTCTCTGTATTTTGGATTCTGTATTTTTTGTTTTATTTGCTATTTTTTTATGTTTGATTGATACATGATGATATAGGATTGCTTCTATGTTTGAGAAATGTAGTTTGTTCATGAATTTTTTTTTGCGATTTTTCACTTAATTTATTATTTATGCTTGAAAATTGGATTTAGCTAACTGTGATATTTAGAGGATAGAGTACTTATTTCTGCCTGTTTTTGATTTAAATACTAAATCCTATTCTTTATTTTAATTTAAACATAACGCATTTTGTTGAATCAAGTTAATAGGTTTATAATTCTGATTGTTGTAGATTAAAGTTTGCCTCCAAGATTAACATTCATGTTTATCTCCTATCACAAATTGCTACATTTGTTTTTCTGCCACTTTATTAAAAAGCTTTTATTACTTGAAAAATACAGAGTAGAAGAAAAAGATTTAATTGTGAGATAAAATATGGTTGGATCCTCTCGTAGATTAATACACTCTTATGGTTTTAGAGGTTCTGGTCTCCTTGTGATTAGAGTTTGATTTTTTGTTGAGTGATCATCGTTTGTGGTAAATGGTATTGATTGTGAAATTGCTTGTTTAGTATGATTCCTCACAAGACAAAGAGGGGAGCCGCTGCATTGGCAAGGTTGAAGGTGTATGAGGGAGTTCCCCCACCTTATGACAAAATCAAGAGGGTGGTTGTTCCCGACGCTCTCAAGTGAGTTGGATCATTCTTAATTTTGTTGATTACAGTTTCGAATTTGATTTTGCTGTGACATTTTGCCTCTAAGTATTGACAGTGTCACATGTTGGGTTAATTCAGGGTGTTGAGGCTTCAAAAGGGTCACAAATACTGCTTGCTTGGCCGTCTATCAAAGGAAGTCGGCTGGAACCACTACGACACCATCAGGGTACGCATATTTTTTAGTAGCTTTTGTCGTCGTTTATCTCTACTTATTTGCTTGTTGAACCTCGTTTAAATTGTTTTTTTGCTCATGTTTAGTTACTTATCATGTTATAATTGTGGTGCTTTATTATACTTGGTTGATACATAGACTTCAATTAGTTTCTATTGTGGACTACATTCATTAGTCCTATTATGATCTGAAAATTGTAGTTTTCTCAGCATGTGTATGTTCTGGTTTAAATAAATTAGTCTTGTCATTGTTGTTTGACCATATTTCATTATAATTATAATAAATGTTAGCTGATGCTTAAAATTCTATTGTCTGCAACCTTTTGCATTTGCTCAAGCAATATGTTTTCATCAGATGAAGTATGTATTTGAATTGATTTTTTTGCTCCCATTCAATCTGCTGGTGCTACTAATGAGGCATTGTTTTAATATACACATTCTCTAATGTAGGAACTTGTTTGCTTGAAGTTTAGAATTTTATGTGTGCATGACTTGTTTGCTATGATGGAAACCTGGTTGTGATATTTGATCTCATCTGTTCTTGAATCCTGGAACTATGAACTAAATCTGTCTTAACTTGCTGTGTTGGTATTTTTCTGCTGACTGTTGTTTTGACTTGCAGGAGCTTGAGGAGAAAAGAAAGGAGAGGTCCAAAGTTGTTTACGAAAGGAAGAAGCAGCTCAACAAATTGAGGGTGAAGGCTGAGAAGGCAACTGAGGAGAAGCTTGGTTCCCAACTAGAAATTCTTGCACCAGTCAAGTATTGAGGATAGAAGTTGATTGCTTCCAGTTTTGTTAAACTAGACAAATTGAGTTGTTTTATACTTTTTATGTATTGCCATTTAGTCTTAAATCATTTGTGTCATACATCCATCATCTTTGTTATCGTGTGTTTTGGCACTAATTTTGATTTTGTTGGCCACCTAATATGATGAATGTAGGTCATTTGTTGTGGTGCTTAACTTTTTTGAGCATATATAGGTCTCTGTTCTACCTGAGTAAATCTTAATCTAGCTTGTCTTAGGCTCAGAGTTTGTCAAGACCTAAACTTAAACCTTGGCTTTTGCTTGTGAAGCTCCAATTTACACCTTAAGCAACATACTGCAGTTTGACATATGTGCTCCTAGACTAAAACTCAATTTTACAGGACAAGCAGGCTGCAGAAGTGTAGTTAACACGGATGTTGGATTTTGATTTTGTTGGACTCCTTTCACTTTGCGATGGATCTGGTAGACACTGTAGGCTGTAGAGAATTGTCTAACTGGTTATAGACTAAACAAACTTATATTAGTTTCATTCACCGCCACAGCCTTCCCCCTCCCCAGCCACTACTATACAATGGTTACAACCTCTTCTCCTTACCTTCCAGGCAAGCAGGTTACTCGCACATGCTTATGAGGAGGGCGAAGAGGGTGGATCCGTGGATGAAACAGGTTACTTGCACATGCTTAGACAAAAACTATATTAAAGAGAATTGTAATCAATGATTCAGTATATTAAGCATTGAGTTCCTCAAACTATATTAAAGAGAATTGTAATGCTTAGACAAAAACAATTTGTTTCGTTTTAATTGATTCAATATTTGCTTTTGCATTCTCAAAATCATAAAATTAATATCAATAGGGTAAAGATAAGCTTTGAAAACAGAGGAATTTCTAGCTTGATATTTAATGTACATTCCCATTTTAGATTTTCTGGATCCATCACTGCTATCAGCTCAACCACATAGCCTGAAGAACAGGCAAGCTTTGATTTACTTGTTAATCTCTGAAGTCTGAACCATATCCGAGGAACTTTCAGCGAGCTTTACAACTTCACCAACGACGACGGTGATATCATCCAATTTCCCCCCTGCTTAATGACCACAAATTTCGGTTAATCTGTAAGCATCACACAAGAAAGTATCAATAAGAATTGATTTGACTAAAGATATGTAATCAATGCCTGTTAGCTTCATTCCTAGCAACTTCTTCCAATCTGGCACATCAATACCCTACAACACCGATTATATTGAATGAGTTAACCAAGTGTATGGTGTAATGAACAACTTAGGAGGAACAAACAACATTCTTACTAGGATTGTTTTACCTTGGTTCGAGCTTCTGATGAATAAGGAGAGTCGAAACTGATGTCCATTGAGTGATCTCTAGCTAGCCTAGCTAATGCCTTGGCTAGCATAAAAAAATCCAACTAAGTTAGGACTTCTTCAAGATTAATAATTCCGAGAAACAATATATTTACAGTAAATTTTATAGCAGGAGGAAGTACCGGCTTCTGCTACGTCGCTGTTGCTTGCAACAGTTGATGCAATTTCTCTGTCATAAACATTGTCGAAAAGACCATCTGATCCCATAACTACAATGTCTCCCTCCTCCAATTTTACACTGCTCACCTGTTTATATTTAAGCAATTAAGAAATGAAAACTATTAATGAATGAAGTGTGAAAGATATGATGACATACAAAAAGGGATTAATGTTTGACAGTAGTTTGAGTAAAAGATGTTTGGAAAGTAAAACAGGCCTAACATTTTCTTACCATTGCATCTAGGTATGTTTGACCTGAAGTTTCTGAGCTCAACTGATAAGGACAATCAAAGTAATGCTCTTGAGTGCATGTTGAGAACATTATTTGTCCTGCAGAATCACTAAGCCCCGGTATTTGTTAACACGAAAACATAATCAGAACTTCAGAAGAACCAATTCATCTTAATTCTGCCCCTCATCTTATGTAACACTTGTATGTCACTCGCTAAGACAGATTCATCAATATACATATACTTTTACTCTGTTAGTATAAGTGGTGCAGCCTTCATTATATTATGAATCAAAAAGGAGGATTGACACAAATGCAGAACATAGAAAGTGGACAGAAGATGTAGATTTAGTTCAGATTAGTAGTTTTAGTATCAGTAACCACCTTTGCGAATAACACGTAGTCCACAATCTCCAACATTTGCAATCTTAAGAGTCCCATTTCCTTCCATCATAGCAACAATTCTGTATGTTAAGTGAGAGATCAGACAATCAAATTAAAATATTTTTAGTACATTTGTGTGTGTATTCACTAGAGAGTTAACCTACACTGTTGCTGAACCCATTGAAGAGGTAGCTGCATGCGCCTTTTTCAACAAAACCTGCGGATCATAATTCACCTGTTGGCATATAAATAGACACCTTGCTTAGTTGGACAATACTACATGCCTTGATAGGCTTAAACTAAGGAAGAAAAGGCATACATAGCAGGGGATTGAATAATGTGAATTGGTTGAGCTAATTAATCAATCGGAACTATGTGTTTCCCTTTGGTTTTCTTCTCCATCTAATTAACTGACATGCTACAGGCTTAACTTTTTTTTTTTATAGAAACTGTGACTACCTCTGTATCATACACCATTGATGATGCATGTGCCATCAGCTCCCTAGAAAACAATGCAGGATCAACATCGCGTTCTGCCCACCTGCCACATAATGACAGCAGTCGCAACACAAAGTATAAATATTCAACTATTCAGGCAGTATCAGTTAGTAACGAGTAAGGAAGTATGCATACTGCATACCCTGACACTCCATCTGCAACAGCTATAGCTCCACCGCCGTGGCTGCTAATGAAAAAAGCATCTTCTCCTCCCCTTTCAATCTACAAAGGCAGAACTATCATATCAACTCCCTTCCATAGGCTATACAAAGAATTGAATGCCGCGGGAAAAATAGAAAGCAGCAAAGACTTAAGAAGACTACCTACATACCTTGTTTGGATGAGGTATAAGATGTGTTCCAACACAAAGTGACATCTCTGACCTATGAATAATCACAATTCACAATCATCAGATTTAATAACATGTAATTCTGCACTTTTATCAACTAAAATATTCGCTTGGGGCCCAGGAATATGTTTTATACTCTATCATAATGACTTAAACTTAGTTGATGCTTTGTATATACAATTCATAAATCATAGCTACTGAAAGATTTCTCTAAATTATACTTCGTATATTATTGGTCATAATAAGGTTCTACTAGTACAAGTAACAACCCATCACAAATTTGAAATAATATCAAGCTTATATTGAAGAGAATCAAATGAAAGACTTTTATAAAATACTCAAAGAATCATTCTAGATCATGAAATAGTACTAAGCATCATCCAATCTCATAAACTAGCAAAGCTCAAACGGTAAGATTTTAAGAAAGAATTGTGTAGGATTTGATCATTATCTTTTCTTGTTTTTCAACTAACAGTCAAATACTCATATGCTATACAATATGATAGTTTAACAATTAAAAAAAAAAAATGTATAAATAAGAACATTACTTGATAGGATAAGTAACTTGAGATGAAAGAGCAGCAACATTAGAAAGTGGAAGCAGGGTAATTCTGTTGCCTAATGATAGTTTCGTCACTTTCGTTGGTAATAAAAATGAGCTCAATGAAGATCTGAATGCACTGCTACTACTAACCACCATTTTTCTCTTCTCCTTTTCCTTTCTTCGATAAATCTCTTCACCTTATCAATCTTGTGGACTCGTTTCTTTTGGGGGATAAGCAATTTGCAGCATCAGATAACTTTGCAATTATTATTATTTATGTAATAAAGAAAGAAAATAATATCAATAAGCACCAGTGGTCTAGTGGTAGAATAGTACCCTGCCACGGTACAGACCCGGGTTCGATTCCCGGCTGGTGCAATATTTTTTTTTTTGCCCCAACATTTTTGAACTTTTTTTTTCCGTACTATCCAAAATTTGTATATATACTTTACAAGACTAGTAATAAATCACTAATATGAAATAAAAATGGGTATTAAAAGCAAAAAACAACTTTTGAATACATGAAGAGAATATGATTTTGGAAAATTTAACAACAATAAACCAACCTTTGCTCTATTATCCCAAAATGAACCAACCTTTAAATCTGCCCAATATAAACACGAGTTTGCCTTTATTCTCCCAAAATGAACCGAACAAGTCACCTTACCTGTTATACTAGGTAAAAATTCACGTGTCATTAAATCATTGGTCAAGGTTTTTTTTTTTTTTATACTTACCAACAACCACATTCTCCACCTGCCGCACAAACAAAGCAACATCAGCAGCCCACAGTCCCACACCTACAACCGCCGAGACCCACAAATCACGACTCACCTCAACAACAATCGCCACTAGGGGTGAGCAAACCGGGTACCCGGTCAAAATTTAAGAACCCGGACTTGGAATTGGTTGGAACCGGGTCCTAAAATTCGGAACCGGAATTGGAATTGGTTCAACCGGGTCCTAAAATTTAGGAATTGGAATTGGAACCACCGGGAACTGGTTCTGGTTCTGGTTCTGGTTCCGGGTACCCACATGTGTATGTAATTTTTAAAATATAATACAAATTATAAGTTTTATTGTAGTTAGGTTCATTTTTAGCATTTAATACTTATATTTATATGTGCATTAAGCTATTTGTAATTATGTTAGGTATTAATAATACTTTTTTTTTACAAATTAGATACATTCAATGTATTTTTATTATTTAAATTTAATTTAGTTTAGCATATATTGGGTAACCGGGTACCCAACCGGTTCCGGGTCCAAAAAGTTGAGAATTGGAATTGGAATTGGAATTGGTTATAACTGGGTCCTTAATTTATTACCCAGAATTGGAACCATCGGGTCCAATTCCGGTTCCGGACCCGCCAGTTCCTAACTGGTTCTGGTTCCAATTCCGGGTACCCGGAATTTTTGCTCACCCCTAATCGCCACCCATCAGCCCTGCTACGTCTCTTCCCAACGCAACTCCACCACCAATCATACAAACCCTAATCGAACTCTTCATCAACAATATCAACAACGTTGAGGGACGAGTCATAGTGTTGCTAGCCGACGACAGGTTGCGGGTTGCGAGTTGAGGTGTTGCTCCGTTTATGGGTTAAGGTGTTACAAAATCAACAACGATGATTATAGCCTTACAAGGGTGTGATTGGTGGCGATTTTGGGCTATGGCTGGAAGAGGAATGTGTGGTGAATGGTGGTAAGGCAAAGGATGTGTGTTGCGGCAAAGTGGTGGTGATTGGTTTACAATTGAGGGGTAAATTATGGCGTAATTCGAGAAGGTGATTTAGGGTTCGAGGGTGGGGTTGCTGGCACCGGGGGTGGTTGGGCGGCGGTCGCCGGCAGACGGAGGGAGGAGGGAGGAGGGGTGGCTGTCAGTGGATTTGGGGTTGAGTTTTTTTTAATTATTTTAATTTAATTTTATTTATTTAAAAAGATAATAAATGGAAAATAAAAAAGTGACCGGTTATTCAGGTCACAAGTCATTTGGGTTTACTACGGGAGAAAAAAAATGCAAACTTGTGTTTATTTTGGGCAGATTTAAAGGTTGGTTCATTTTGGGAGAATGGAGCAAAGGTTGGTTTGTTATTGTTAAATTTTCCTATGATTTTTACAATTTTACAAGACCAGTGATATACAAGTATACAACTAACGTGAAATAAAAATTAGTATTTAAAGTATTTTTTTTTTGACGGGTAGTATTTAAAGTAAAAACAACTTTTGAACACATAAAAAGAACATCATTTTTTCTTTTTCTTTTTCTCTCAATTTTTTTTTTTTTTTTTTTTTTTGGGAAATAAGGGTCATAAATGAGGGTAGAAAAAGTATATAACTTTTGAAATTATGCAAATTGCTTATTTTAAGGACTAATTTTGAATTTTGTGCCAAGCCTTTGCCATGTTTAGTACAACCTTGTTAGTAGAACGGTCAAAAGTTGACTCGACTCGAAATACCGACTCAAACCCGATTATTAACCGACCCACCTGAAATCGAAAAAATGGTGACCCAAACCGACCTGAAACCAACCCTAGACCCGAATTGACCCGAGTATGTGAGACCCGAACCCGAACATGAACTGACCTGAATGTAACTCGTAAATTATTGACCTGAACCGAACCCGAATTGAACCGAAATTGACCCAAACCGGTTTTACCCGTAAAAACCCGAATTTAGCCCAACTTGTTATTAACCTGACTTGAATTCAACCCGACCCGAATTTAACCCAACCTGTTACAAACCTGAACTGAAATCAACCCGACTTGTTATTGACCTGACCCAAATTCAACCCGACTTGTTATTAACCCAACCCGAATTTTACCAGACCTATTACTAACCAGACCAAAAAAATTCAACTCGATCTGTTACTTACTCGACTCGAAATCAACACGACTTGTTATTGACCCGACCTAAATTCAACCTAAATTGTTCTTCACCCGATTTCAAATCACCTTAGATGCAATTTAGATCACCTTATTATTGTTGATCAAAGCATTTTGTCTAAGGATACCAAGTCGGTCCAAGCCAGCAAAACAAAGGAGCATCATCCTCAAATTTAAAGTTGATTATAGTATATATTTGTTGTTTGGTCAAAGGAGATAATTATCTTCCTAAATTATAGACTACAGTTCCTAGTATATTTCCATATATATTATTGTAGACACCCATTTGTGTCTCCCCCCAAAACCAAACCCAGTGATGAGTACCTTTCACGTCGCATCATAATCGAATGAAGTGAAAGTGTGGAAGGTCTAGTGTTGTGGAGAGTTTTTATTTCTTTTCTCTTCTCCCTGTTTCTGAAAACTTATTTTAAGAAAACAACCAATCCAGTTTGGTTGGTCCATGATATGGGTCAAATAGTAGTGTATTTGGATGGGGCTTGCAAAGAGCTTTCCAACGATATATTATAAGCTCAATTCCGATGAATATTAAGGAAGTTATGGCCAATTTACCAAACTGGGCCCGGTTTGAGCTTTATATGCGGCCCAATGATCTAGGGGAGGGCCTAATATGATTTATCATTCCTAATGCAATTAGGAATGTTTTTAGTCTCCTAGATTCTTCTAGAAGGTTCTTTTCATTCCTAATTCAATTAGCATTGATAAATTGACTTGTGTTGACTTTTCAGAGTTTTAATCAAAATCAAATAGCATTTTCGAAGAAATTATATTATTTTATCCTCCAGTATGGTAAACTTATCGGATTTTCTCTTGGCGCCTAACCCCAGGCCTTGGCGCCTGGAACCAGGCCTGGCGCTAGTGCTGGTGCCTGGCGCCAGCTAGCCAGGGTTGGCGCCAGCTCTGTTTCCTGAGCGTCAGACTCTGTTTTGTTAATTTATCTTTTTTGGCTGATTTTCTCTATAAATATCGCATTAAAAACTCCGTTTTCATTAATCAAGATTCACCAATTCTCTCCATTCATTCACAAATTCTCAACATTCATCAACAATCAGTTTTCATTCGCAAATCACTAATTCTTTAGCATTCATCTAATTCATTCATCTCTTTCTTTCTTTTAACAACTTTGCTTTTTATACAAAATTCCGCATTCGCAAGATCTAGAAACACCTAGACATATTCGAAGTTGCCTTCACCCTAGACGTGAAAGGTTTAATTTCTGAGGGTTTGGTCCCAAATCTCTATTTCAATTATTTAATTTAATTGTTTGTTTATTATTTTCCTTGAAGTTACTAACGTGTGTATTTTGTTATTAGAAAGAGGTACGAGGCATCAAAGTAAGTGCTTTAATTGATTCATTGATATTATGATGTAGAAATCATGTTTAGATTGTTATTATGATATTCCTAGTATCATGTCTATGGTAGTTTTAATATTAAATATGATTCCTGTGATGCTTCCTATGTTTTTCCTAATATTTATGATTGTTGGTATCATGTTAGGGTTAAAGATTTGATTTTTATTACTTAGTGACATGCTAGGGTTTGTTATTAATATTTTTAGTATCATGCCTAGGATCTTGCTATTTTTATTAACATGCACATGATTATGATTATAATTGTTATGATTTATGATAATTATGAATATTATAATTTAATTTTATGATGATAATTTTATTATTATTATTTTTATGATTATTATTATTCATGTTTATCCTAATGATTATAATTAATTTGTTATGTTGCTTGATATTTATTCTTTGTTGTTGCTTGATCACACCTTTATGCATGTTTAAAGGGAATTGGTACTTGTAATCATGCTTAATAAGATAATTAATAATCTTGTTTAGGGTTAATATGATTATAATTTCAAGTGATCGCGAATAATAGTTTATTTGTGCATTTATATTCAACCAACATAGATAAACAGGTTTAGGGTTAATCCTATTGATTGCATGTTAATCAGAAAGCGCACATGAATACGAGCAGAATAATGTAGAGGCCTATTATTAGGGCAGGTTCAATCTCTTTTAGGTTGGATTTGTACCATCATCCCCGAACCCTTTATTTGGTTCAAGACCTTATGGAGTTGACGATCTCTTGGCTCGTTAAGGGGTGTAACCTTCATCCTATGAACGGTTTACAAGTTCCTAAAAAACTTGTTGGTGACTCTTTTGCTCTATCTTCTTCCCTTTTGGACGCCACTGTACTTTAGTGTATGATCACAGTGGGGTTCAAGCTAGTGGGATTAAAGCTTGAAATTTATTCCCTACAGTTTTTTGGCGACTCCACTGGGGAGGATTTCTATTTTAATTCCTGAATTTTTTT